TCGAGGCAAGTTATTAACAGATAAGTTGATGTTACATGGATTCCAACAACCTTGTTTAAATTCAGCAATTCGTAATTTCTATGGTCGTTATAATGACCTTGTTAGCAAATTTTAACCTCTCATTGGGTCGTATTTTGACTAACATTCTTCATACCAATTGTTAGGTTTTGTTTTCATACTAAATTTGATGACAGAATGTCAAATCTACTGGATCAACACAAAGGATTCAAGGCGGGTGTGACCGGTCGACAAGAGAGGCTTATTCCTCCTAAGCACCTGATCCCACCTCTGGAATTTCAAGGGGTCTATGATTTATGCCCTGTTCACATATTTGTATTTTTCATTTGGAAAATCCTGTTTGTATTTTTTATGTCTTTCAAAGGGCACAAATAAATTGTCAATGTTAATGTCAATGTCAATAGTATTTTCTCAATTCCACCTTTGGATTTCCACTGAATATTGAAACATATTTGCATGACAATCTATCAATTTTCATATGACAAATTGCATGGTATTTTTGTGTGAATATCGTGCGAGTTTATTTTCTTTTCCACAAATTTCATATGACGATTGTATTTGTATTTATGCCTCTTCAGAATATTATGTTTTGCTCATAGTTAATCGCATAAACTAATAAACAAGCACATTATAATATTTTTAGTAGGGATGTCAATTTTGTCAATAATTCATATTCGAATATTCAATGCAAGTATTTGAATATATTCGAATATTCGATAAAATAAATAAAATCTGGTATATTTTGAATGCATCATCCTACTCTCATTAAAGGTTTAGTGTAGGTATTCTTATATTTTAAAATAAAATTGTATGAAAACTTTGTAGGTGTACAATAAGGGATTCCATTTGATAATTGTCAATATTTGAAATAAATAAGTGATTTAAATGTAGAAAAGTATAATTTTAACAAATGATACATGTGTATTTATAGAAGCTCCAAATGAGGAACCAGTCGTCTTACCTAGGGCAAGATAGTCGTATACTGTTCAGATTTCAATACGTGTAATTAATTACACTTATCAGCCTAATAAGAGATATGAGTATAATCTTCGATACAATGTTTTTAAAATATAAACAAACAATTCCATAGACAATTTTCCTAGGTAATTGACTAATTTCCCGATAATGAATATAAAATTCAGGATTATGTACAACCTGAGATAATCAAGTAATTTACTCATTTATTCTAAAATTGAGCCCTTTACAATATTAATTACAGACTAATTCTATCGGATAATTATTTGAATGATCAATTGAATTTGTTTTGATAAGTATACTGTTCATGTCTTGTAGACATTCTAAGAAGGTTTTCATTTCGTTGTTCTCGATTCTAGATTCGATCGTATTTAACTAATAAAAACGATGAAAGTACGTTTTGTATTATACATAAAGCATTATTGTATAAATCTTAAACACCTTACTCAAAACAAAATAATATAGTAGATCTATATAAGATAAGAAAATAGCTAAAGAAATCGGGCGATCGAAATTGATCGCTAGTAGATTAAACAGGGATAATTCCAGCACTGTCCCAATAAAAATTTATTAATCACAGTACTATTTTTTTTATGAAATCTGAAAAACACCGAATATTCGAATCTTAAATTCGTATTCGAATATCAACTTATCGAATGAATATTCGAATGTTCGAATATTCGTTGACATCCCTAATTTTTAGAAATTTTTATAAAGGACCACGTGACTTTATAATGTGCTATTGACGGCCTTTGTATAATCCTGTGAATATTATATTAAAGGCAGGACGAAGACAATCCTTTACTAAGCACTTTGATATACTAGGGTCATTAAGTTTCTGTCATTTTTACAGTATTTCATACTTTTTTGATAAATTAAGTGCCATTATACAGATTTTTTCCATACTTACTTTATAAAAAAACATCATCACAGATCAAGATCATATTTCTGGAAATTATGACACTTTATTATATCTCATTAACGTGAGAATGGCACAATACTGACTTCAACCGCACCCCAAGTTTACACATGAAATTAAAATAATACATGCACCGTATGAGAAAAAGGAAGGGATGACTATTATAAATATTATTGATAGATTAAATAATTATAAAGTGCATTTTGAGAAACAAGCAAACAACAAGTTTATGCTTAAAAGTATATTGTCAATCCGATAGTTGTCATTGATTATATGCGTTAAACACAAACTTTTTTCATTAAGGGAATGCTCAGGCCTTCAGAATATTTCGATTAATTACCGGTGTAATCTGGTGAACTTTTGCATCTACTACACTTAAGCACAAAGCCATTTCAGTACATATGAAATATGAAGACAACGATCAGGAATCATACTCAAAAGACCAACTAAACATTACAAATTGAGAGCAGAGCAAGAATCTGTTCGTACAATTTTATTTCAGCGATGAAAAGGTGAAGATAAGAAACAGTGATCGGTCTACAAACAATACAAATCCGCGAACAGGGCATAAATCACGGACCCTGGAAATTGGATCAGGTGCTCAGGAGGAGTAGGCATCCCCAATGACCCGTCACACCCGTTTTTGATTAGTAAATTGATGGAATTTTTTTTTTAAAACGCCAATATTCAGTGATATCATACATCACTCAAATATTCTTTAGTCCTTAGAAATACTCAAATATTGTTCTCTTAATATATAGCTCACAAACACATCTCTAGATAAGCTTATAGTTTTGAATACTAGTAACTTTGGTAACTTAACCTTCTGTACAGCTTGAGAAAATTACAAGTAATATATTATGTTGAAAAGTGTCAATGCTACTTATATACCATCGGGAAGTGTCAAAGATGTTCAAAAGTGAAGAAGTGTCAGCTTAGCAGTGAATACTTTAATAGGAGATTCTTGTCCACCAGAAAAAAGTTATTCATTAGAGAAGAATTGAGTACATGGATAGATTGCATGCACAATAAAATCGGAAGCTATCGGTACTGGCCTCTTATTGTAATGTCCCTGTCGCGGAAGATTTGTTTGTTTGTTTGTTGTTTAAAGCTGAACACGATTCGCAAAAAGGAATGTGTCTGCCATATTCGATTGGTCTCCCGCTATATCAGAGGGCCCCTATATAAAGCTGCTCACTTAGTCACTGTTCAGTCTAATCAATCGTCACAAATGTAGACGGACCTATGCTTATACAGCACTCGGTAGGGACAAAAAATAAACTTCTTCTTATGCAGGAGAGTACGATACCAATGAAACTTATAACAGTTGCACAGGTCAGTGCAGTATACAAACACAAATACACGTAACTGCAATGAAATGTAAACAAAGGTAATGCCAGATAACCAGCGCGAACATGGGTCGCCATTCCACTCCGATACCCGTGACAATAAAGCAGTCAGGTGTAACGAATGCGAAGAGTATACCTCGGTGCTGATATCGTAGAAAGTAATATCAAAAATGGTGTATGCCTATTTACGAGTCGTGTTCAGCTTTAACGTCCCTCTAGAGAATTATTCAGTCATATGGAGAGGCCATCACTTGCCGGTGAAGGGCTGCAAATTTAGACCTATATTCGGCACTTAGGGCCATCGAGCAGTGAGGGGTTTTTTTCATGTCAGCACCTACTGCAAAACGGGACCTCAGTTTATAAGGTCTTATCCGGAGGACCGGTCACCACGTCTCACAGTAGGATTCGAACCCGCTGTGTAAGGATTACAATGAAGCGCATTGAAGTGGTAAAATTTTTCGTTTGAATGGAAAGTTTGGGTCTTTCTTATCGAACGTCAATTGTTACATAATGACACGCCCATTTCTATAGAAATGAGAAAGAAATATTCGTCGTAATGCTTTAAGACACCCCACTCTCTGCGATTAGCAACATGAGTTACACTGAAATGGAGATTTTATGAAGTTAGGAGAGAAAGAGAGAGAGAGAGACTCTCCGCTTCTGTAAAAACGTATTGCAACGAATATGTACATAAAATGTAAAATTTTATGAATTTATCATGTTTAATGGAGCTACCACAGCACATGTATCGGTCGAACACGTGTTTACTCAGTGTTAATGTAGACTGACAATTTGATTGGCTATCATATTTTAGGAATACCTGTTGAACAGGTATTCGAATGACCATTTGACCACCTTTTATCCTTTCCAAAGAAATGGGTGTGTCATTATATGATAATCAATGTTCTAAAGAAAGCTCAAAACGTTCCATTCAAACGGAAAATTTTACCACTTCAATGCGCTTCATTGTAACTCTTTACTCCGCGACTCTAGAGCAAACGATCTAACCACTGGGCCACTCGGCGACTCCTATCTCGGAAGAAGAAATCAAACAAGTCCTAGGAAAAAGGTATACATATACATGGGGAAAGACTATCTGTTTAACCTCACGATAATCAGTAATTCTGATTTTAAAAAAAAGGAAGAGAAAGTGCATGTTACTGTTTATCGCATATAAATTTTATTTTAACTTTTACGGTTTTTTTTTTTCTTTCATTTACATTAAAATCTCAGTATTCACAAAAAATGATATTAACTCGTTTCGCACGTATGAAAAACATTAATTGATGACATCTTATCACGTGATTTGATGAGAAGTGTACTTGTAGATTTTAAACATAGAAAATCATCGCAAATCGAATAAAAAGCAAAGATAGTAACCATCACCAATACAACTTTATTGGTAAAACAACAATACCAACACGTCTTTATCAATCTGCCATTATAAAATCAATCATGGAATTTGTTTAAGTATCACATACAAAAATATATAATGTAAACGTTAAACAACCAGTTGAATAGCTACTTCGTTTTTATATAGAAAGAGAAGTTTTGTCGAGAAAAAGAAACACAGAAAATAGACAGTCAAACGGTTGTTAACAGGAGAACATAATCTAAGACTCATTTAACAGGTATTAAATATGTAACTACATGTATCATATATAACATAGAGTGGGTTGGATTTCTATTAAAAACATTACAGAGAATCAACGACTAGCAATATCACAGCTCCTAAGAGATACAATTAATTTTGACTCTTTACTGGAAAAATGTATTTTCTTCTAAATCGTATTCCCTGAGCCGTTCTGGAATTCTTCATACCGAAATTTTATTATAAAAAGCCACAGCGACTAATTAAATAATTAGCCACGTGACACGTGTTTGTTGATCCATTCCAGGTACGATGTAACGCGGGTAAAAACACTCGGATAACCCTTTTGTTTGCAGTCTTCTGATCCCCACGAGACTACTCCCGTAATGTAATACTTTCCGTCATAATTACAAGACATCGGGCTCCCGGAATCACCCTGAAAAAATATAAAGGAATAAATAACAACTATTAAGGTGAGTCATTCACGGCAATGAAACTTAGCTTTCAGTTGACACTTTGGATGTAAACCTTCTTTATTAAAAATGAAAAGAAAATGTTTTTCTACTGAAATAGGAGCATTGATTTTTGCCGTGGGTCACGTAGGGAAATATACAGGATAAATCCTCAGGGATTGCCATATAACCATAATAAAGACATTAAACAGATTCAGTGACAATTCCTCCCAGCCAAGTCAGCAAAATTAAGCCGATTTTGATGAAATGTAATCCGAGAAGAGTTGTTCATTAAATACAACTCAGTTTTTCCTTCAAATTGTGCGAAGAATATACTCCCCATGGATATTTTGACTAATTAGCAATTCCGCTGCATGTATAAAATCATATTTGTGAACGAGGAGTGTCGACGAAACCAATAAATATGATGTATACTTTGCCACCTTTTCTGTTCATTATTTACAGGTATTAATAAAAAGACTATAAACTACTGCATCCTGCTTTTATATTTTAAATTAATTCTAAGGATTAAAAGCATGTCTACAATATTTCGTATTTCATTTAATTTATTTTTATTAAATCAATCACTGTTCGTTTTTCTCACCGATTTTATTAAAACGATTTGTTTAATATTTACAGAAATTGTCATACAGCAAGGTGTCATTGGAGAAAGGGCTCATTATATACCCGGTAATAAGCAATATCTTTCTAAAACTTTTCACAAAGTCTATAGCTTGTAACAATAGTATTAAAAATTTGTGTCCAAATCACACGTGACAGGATGTTTTCTTTTTAATTGAAATACATGACTCTTTTTTTGTAGTAAATTTATACCTTGCATGGTCCATGTGTCCCGTCTCCAAAGCAGAGCGTATCGTCATCTAATTCAGTTTGCCAGAACTCCCTGCACTGAGTGCTACTGATGACGTTCCCATGAACTTGGCGCAAAAGTGTGCGATCAGTTTCCCCTGCAATAAAGATAGCAATTGTTATTGTTCAGATAAGGTGTTAAATTAAGCTCTATATCCCTGCTATTGCTTTCAGTTGGGGTAATTTTAATGTATAGACTGAACAGATGAGTGTTTATTATTAGATCTCATACTCTGCCTTATCATATTTTGAGGTTCTTGACACTATATGATAAGCAGCATGAGAATCATAGATATTAATATGTACATAAACATCCTGCCAAATTATTTTTGAACTGATAATTTTCATAATAATTTTTTTAAGGAGAGTGCAAATATTTTCAAGGTGAATGCTATGCATTTGATCTGATGAACTGGTAAACTTCTGAAATATTTTGAATTAATTGAATTCACCAATAACGAACGCAAGATTCGTGAATTACAAAGAGTTTTGTCATTTCACTCAAACTAAATTTCAAAAGATTTATATAAAAGCAATATATATGTAAATCGTTGCTTAAATTAGTGCACAGGTGGAAAATAATTACTTTTGTATGCATAAAGTTGTAAAATGCAATTGAATTTCAATGTAAGACTAACTCGTCTTTAAATTTTTTTCTTGGGGAGGGGGCAAAAACTTACTGTCTCTCCCAGTGTATCCCCATCCAGTCACCCAACACTGCCCCTTTCTCTCCACGTCAAAGAGATTTACTGTGTTGTCCTGCATCATTGGTTCTCTCTTGTCAACGTCGTTCCCAAAGAGAGGCTCGCCGACAGGGGGCAGACAGATCGGACGTGTATACGGTGACTGAACGTCAACGCTTGAATCTAACTCCACTAATGCAATGTCATGAGCATAACGTTTGTGAAGTGGTGTTGACTGGTTCTTTCTCATGTCTTCTTTTTCGTCGTACGCTATATACAGAGGATGCTGAAAAGTAGATCATGGCTCAGTTATTTAAGACACTATTTTGAATATTTTAATGCAATTTCACTTAATCATGCACTTGTGTTTTGATCACCTCAATCTTGGTATTTTTATCGTTTATTAAGAGATTTTTCTTAAATCAAAGTAGAATGTTACCTTTACTATAGATCTGATGGCAATGTCCATCCTCGATGCCTCGTTTCCAGTCATATCATGCATTCCAACTGTCACCCGCCATTTCTTTATGTTGTTATATGCTCTATAAAGTTGTAACATAATGAACTCCTTGTAAAAATTACTTCAATAATCATTTGTCATTTTCTTTCTTTACATAATTTTATTGCTCCAATAGTTCCATTCTTTAATTCGAGCTTTGAGTTCCTACTCACCCTTTGAAGCAGTGGGCAGCGGTTAGAACCCAGCGATCACTGATGAGAGATCCCCCACAGCCATAACCCCCACTCATGTACCGGAAGGACACCTGCCAGGGCCAGGCACCTCTGGGTGCCACAGTCCCTCCCACAATCCTCTTGGCGCGATGTGAAAAATAAGGCTTGCCACAATCTTGTCCTGTGAAGTTTGACATTAATTAATATTGCAGTTTATAATGAATGGTATAGTTATACCATCACCTGTTTTATTCTGAAACAATTATTTAATAATTTCAAGAACCAATGTGACAGTAAAACTTTTAATATTTATTAATATTAAGAAAAAGTTTTACATATATATTTGCTGAAGAAAGTAAAGACAATCTTGACTTTCTTAAGCAAATATAAATGTATGTTATACTGGTGTAAATATGACAGAACTTACTTCTAGGGACTTCGTTTGACATGAATTGGGGTTGGTCGAGTACGAGTAAGTCGATCAATGATTGTGTCGGGGCCGGGGTGGTTGTGGTTGTAGTGGTGGTCGTCGTCGTTGTAGATCTGCTTTTCATCATTTGTACTGAAAGTGAACATTTTATTGGTTTGTGTGCTGTCGTTTTCTTTCCTTTTTATCAGCCCAAAAGAACTTTTTATTTTTTATGTTCTCATGAGAAAAAAAATGTATCTAATGTAGTTTGTATTTGCATTTAGAAAAAATATACATAAATATTGCATTTGTTAGATATTCGGACGATGATATAGTGTGTCAGTATTAACTAAAATTTTATCCATTATGAGATATTTTTTTAATCTTCGGTTTATGTTTCTAGTCTTTCACTTACCAACATTATCTGGTGCACAGCACTTCATTCCTACGCCAGACTTTAACTTACCGACATTGTCTGGTGCACAGCACTACATTCCTACGCCAGACTCTCACTTACCAACACTGTCTGGTGCACATCACTTTATTACTACGCCAGACTCTCACTTACCAACATTGTCTGGTGCACAGCACTTCATTCCTACGCCGGAGCAGAGAGGTATTCCCCATTTGTGTACGTATTCAAACTCACAAGTCCTATCACAATATCCGCGTAAGTAGTTGCATATTTCTATTCCTCTCGTTACTGATAATGCTGTAAAAAAAAAAAAAGAAGATTTATTAGTGTTCACAGTACGTAGTATGCTTTGTTTATTAGTATCAGATTCCTAATAAAGCTATTTTAAAATAATATTTATAACAATAACTACATAAAATGTATAATAATGTTACATTTTTTCAGTTTTTGTTATTCGAGTTTTCCAGCAGCCTCTTCCATGAGTATTTAAGGTACTAGTATGAAAAATTTGGATGAGGAAAATTAGAATTCAGAATTTTTTTTTACTTTATATTTACATCAAATGAATATTTTCTCCTTTATTTCTTATGAACACCAATGCGGGAACCGGTTTTTAAAGCTGTCGTTTGGCAGTGGACTCTTCCTTTCATGAAACGTACCACGGCATATACACATCAATAATACAATATTTTACGTACTTAAACCTAAAAATACTAATATTCATACAGGCATTGATTTATACAATAAAATGTTTTTCTTTTTTTCTTTCTTTTTTGTTAATAAGGGAATAAAGGTTGCAACTATTGTATTTTTTTCTACAACGTTTGCATTCATTAACCCTGCATTAACAAAGAAAGAAAGACATTTTATTGTTTGAATTTTTTCAGATGTAGTTGGATCATATTCAACAGAGATTTGTTGAATGTTGTTTGTGTGTAGGCAAAACGTGGTTAATTGTGTGGGAATGGTATTAAAGATGTGTGTAGGCAAAACGCATGGTTAATTGTGTGGGAATGGTATTAAAGATGTGTGTAGGCAAAACGTGGTTAATTGTGTGGGAATGGTATTAAAGAATTTTATAAAGATAAATGTGAAATAAATTGCAGTTGATAAAAGTGGTGGAAATTTGTCTAGTATGGTGGAATTTTGTGTAGGAAGGTGTGATGAGAAGGGTTTGATAGCTGTCACCTACGCCTGACAAAGTAAGGGTTTTATAAAATTGTCTAAGCGGATCTATTACTGAAAATCACTTATTTAAGAGACCTTGAAATAAATTTACAAAGTGATCTTTTATTGTATAAAAGATTAATTGAACAATTGAAAAAAACTGGACTTTAAAAAAAATGAAATGCAGAGAATTAAAATTTTTATTATATGTATATATGCAGAATGCACTGGAATATGTCATTCGTTCCCATGACACAGGTTTCTCGGATCTGAAATCTACAAGTCTGAATAATTATTCCATTTTAAATAATCTTATTTAAATCACTTTTTTGTAAAGAGAATAATTTTGCATGTTTCTCCTTTTTTCATTGTTCTATTCCTTTATTAGTTTTTATATATAAAAACGGACTTGATTCTTAACGTATATTGTAATAAGACTATTGAGTGAATTTTAAGCAATTCCACGATATACTTCAAATACCATTGATCTAATATACATCGTTCCTCATTTAATAAACACTGACATTTTGAAAACCAAAGATATATCTTGTAATCTTATCATCATTATCAGTGCCACAATGTTGTGTTTTACGAGAAAAACAATTTGCTCCTAATTTGCTCCTTTATTCCTATCAACAAACCACCTACAACGAAGGCTATCTCAGGGATCAATCTTCTCTGGAATTTCATTCAGAAAATGCTTCAGTAGCTAGAGCAATGCCTGAAATAACTCGCAGTGAAAGGGCTAATTGACAAGGAGATTCCTATAGTTTGATACAGAATTCAGATGTGTTTCCTAGGAATTCTATTAGAAGACAACGCTGGGTGATAAAGGTTTACATCTGTGGACCCTCATTCACAACTGAAAATTGAATGAGAGAACTCCAATGTTACATCTTGTCTTTCTATTGAATTTCTCTCTTTTCGGCTTAAAGAGAATAAGAATTTAAGTAAATCTAAAGAGAACCACTATGTTTATTAGCATCTTAATTGTAGTTGACTAATGTAAGGCGCCAACTAATATCACATAGCATCCTTTCTTTTGCTATGCCTTTCTTATTCTGATCCTATTATAGAACTTTAAGTCATTATCGTCCAACAATTTGCCAAAGAATCCTAGTAATTTCTTACATGCACATCTATACTTAGGAATGCCACCAAAATAACCTTCCTATCATCCTTAATCAGATTGGTCGATAAGGATTCCAAATTTTCCCCCAGAGGAAACTTACAGATGTTAAATGACCTTGGATTTTACAGATATATCGGAATAGATATCAGGAAGCGAGTTTTTTGACATGTATATTACCAGATTCACGTCACCTTTGCAATTATTACATCGAAAGAATTTACTGTATGTTCATTCCATAACTTTAAAGTACTCTGATAATATTTTTGCAGTAAAATTATTAGTTTTGTCATATGAATTGCACTTTTATGCGATGAATTTACAAATATGAAAAATACGCATAAGACACGACACATAGGTATTCTTTTCAATTAACATTCAATTAATATCTTTAATTATTGCTTTTGGTTAAAAAATAGAAATTATGTCGCATGCATTGCTATTAGTTTGCATTCTTTTGACAAGTGTAATTTTGGCTCCATTAATTATTGATAAAAAATATCATATGGTTACCGTAGAAAATATAATTATTGTAATAAAACTTACGGATGTATATAATTATTAAAATTAGTGGTTTTCGGAAATGGATTGTACGCATACAATTGAAATTAATCAAACCATGTTTTTAAAAATATATATAACGTTTTTTTACTGACAAATAAACCAATTTTAATATCTAATAATTCTGTCTGTTTTGTATGCCTTAAAATCACGCGCTATTTTCTAAATTTATCTTGCTTGTAATTTCCTTCCATAAATATGGAATGTATAATTTGCCATGTGGCTTGTTTTAAAGGTCTTATGAATTAATAATAATTGATATTTATATTTATAGAGAGGCACTTAAAAAAGTAAAAATACTGTCCAGATTTATCAAGAAATTATAGAAAGTAGCCCAAGAATTGTAATTAATGGTTGCTAATCCCAAGAGCAAAAACAAAAAGAATTTTCTTTGTTATTGAAAAAAAAAATGTAGACCTAAATGCTGATATCTGAGTTCAATATACCTATGTGATATAGTCGAAAATGCTTATTCCAACTGTTTAATTGTACATATACATTGGTTATTTCAACATCATCTTAACCATTTTCTCAGAGTAAATGAAGAGTTTTTTTAATGTACGTATTTCAGAGTTCGAGGCTAGAAAAAAATATAGAAATGATCAACACTTATGATAACAAAACATTTTGATTTATCCTTTTTTTTAATTTAAAGATATGAATTTCATATACCAGTGATCGATTTAAAGCTTTGATATATTTCTCTCACATAAGCTTACAATAAGATTTATGAGGACTAAAATATGGAGATAACGAGCAGTAATCAAGTTAAAGTCCACAGAAACAATACAAATCGGGAGCAGGGGAAACACGGACCTCTAAATATTTCAGAGAACTATCTGCTTAATTTTAATAAATGACAATATTTTCAACTTGTCCCGCTATAATTTGTTAGGTTGTCCTTTCCAATGTTTTAATTATAAATTGAGTATGAAAATAAGCAGATTTCATAATATAAATGAGCATCTTGCATTAATGATCTTGGGATTATTTAATCCTTTTACCTGGATATTGCTGATAGTCACCGTGTTGATTCCAGATAGTCAAACCTGTATGTATTTTTAGGATTAAACCAAATGTAAATATCAACTCAGTATCTCTCATTTTATAGTTGACATGTCGATTCTTCCTTTGAAGATATATATATATAAAGTACATGTAAGTAATTTATTTATTTATAGTGACATATGTACATAGATATTTCTTTATATAATTCAAGTCAATTCTATATTTTCTGTTTATTACTATTAACTTAGAGGTTGCTTATGGAGAAAAAGAAAATTAACTACTTTGGTCTAATGGATCGCCAATAATTAATGTCTCTCTGCTAGGATTTCCTCTAGTTTCAGCGTTTAGAAAGTCGTTTGAAAAGGAGGACCAGATTTGTTTAAATCGTCGGTGTACAATTTCAATGTGATAAAAAAATAATAATTAACAACATAACGTATATTTCCTTAAATACTATTATACGCCTTATGTATAAAATCGTGATATTAAGTGCTTTCTCATAATTGAATAGATAAACCCACATATATCTGTAATAAGTGTGTTATTTTGACAATTCATACCTCATCTGTACAACTACACGTATATTTTTGGGTCAATGATGATAGTACTGGTCATGCGTTTTTACAACAGAGTAACCTTCTAAAGAATAAAATAGAAAACAAAGATGTTTTACATAAAGTTTGAACAGAATGTTTTGTTGCATTATCACTAATTTAAATGCCAAATATTCCTTAAGAACGAATTAATGTTGCCTTTCTTCTAAACGGGGCCACATGATTAATTTATTTCATTAGTAATGTCGGCAGTGCGTTTTATAACAGGATTCTTATAAATTTTCAAAGTAGGTCACATCATGATGCTTTTATGTGAAATTTTCTATTAAAAATGTAATCTAATTAAATAATGTTAGTGGAAGCAGCTATGGGAATCCTATAAGAATATGAATTGGACATTTTTTTTGTAACTAAACTCATTAGAATGAATTTAGTTATTGTAAATAGATACTAACAATGTTATATCTTAAATTTTCTTGACATATGCCTAGTTAAATAATTGCAGTAGTTAAAATTCAAGATACTGAAATTTACTCACCAGATGAAATAACTGCAAAGGAAAGGATAAATTCTGCTTTAGTCATGCTGAGAAAATCAGTGCAATTTTTCTTCTCTTCTGTCTTCTTAATGCAAATAAACAGACTTAATTACAATTATAATCCAATTTTTATACACGATTGAAGAATTTCGGCGATGCTAAAAACTGTTCGACACTCCTCTACATCAATGGAGTAGCGAAGCCACACCTCTTTTTCCAAATACGGTTATTGAAATTATGAAGCACACAGCAGGATTAATTTACATATCAATTTACATATCCATTGGTTAATTTAAAGGAAAAAAATGCAATCACCGTAAATTCGAAACACTATTTAAGTGTGGCGATTTCTCTGAGTACCGCACTCGGCCACTGGTGAAATATATTAGTTTTCCTGTATATCACTGTGAACAGCAAGATATTGATGAAAATCAGCAGTATTTACTCGAGGCCAATCAAATACCTTATTGAATAAATCCCAATTAATTTTACATCAATTTATTGATACTATTGTTATATATATCACATCACTGTCTCACTTTCACAATAGTAATATATATATTTATATATATATATATATATTTATATATATATATATATATATATATATATATATATATATATATATATATATATATATATATATATATATATATATATATATATATATATATATATATATATATAGCGACATGTTGAAGATATAAATGAAAAGCATTACTATAAAACAAAAATTAATGAAAGTGAAAAGTTGGTCTATCAGTAATTAGTAATTATAAGTAGTTATCAATTAGAAGTAATTAAGTAGCGCAGGTGATGCCAAACCATTTGTCAACATCAAATTTTTAAATATTGTGGGTTTTTTTTAAATCACACTCTTGTCACTTCCAAAGAGTTAACTTTTGTCCTGTAATTTTCATCGTTTAAGGTTTTTGACGTTATAATTTAACTGCGCCTTAGACTTTTACATTAAACAGTGTTATTTGAATCAGCGTAAGTGAAAAAGGACATCCGATTTAGAATGTCAAGAAAATGATAAATGGCTCTTTTTAAAAATAACCACCATTTCTTCTCTTACTTGTTAAACAATACAAATTGGCTAGAGTGTGTGTACATTTTGTTTTACTAATAAAAAGAATTATGTAGGCAAATGACCTAAAAATCAGATTTTGTCAACGTCAAAATAATCACAAAGATACGGTCAGAGACTGTGACATATTCAATGCAGAGAACATAAATGAGAACAAAGCTTTACTGTTTAAAACTCTGACAAATTTAATTTCTTTGGTTTAAATTGATTTATTTGTTTTATAACAATAAAACATTTATTACATAAAACATTCAATTTACATACCACAAATTATGATGATCTGACGGATGATATCTTTGAAGATAGGAACAGAATTTATTGCTTGCGTTTTTAAAATTTGTTGCATATATTTACAATATAAAATATTTTCAAAAATTGATATCTTTAAGATATTTACAGTTTAATTATCTAAAGTATTTGGTAATCATGATTAAGATCTTTTACTGGTTAACCAAACTATTCAAATGTTATCTTCCTCTTTTTTAACCAACTTCCGATTCTTCCTTACTTTCTTTCTCCGTTTCGTTGCATTTACTAATACCATACGGCGTTCCCCCGTGACTTCATGAAAAACAAGAGTATCAGATGAACGCAGGAATCTGTTAGGTTCCCAATCATAAATATAGCTTTTCAATAGATACGAAAATTAAGTAGCAAAGAAGAAACTAGGAGTGATTTTTGCACTTTACTCCTCCTACTAAAAAAATGCGGAGTCTCTTTTTAAATTTTCAATTTTTTCTAGAAGATCGAGACATTCTTTCTGGAAACATCGACATTTCTTTTAGTCGTCAAATCAGAATGAAAGAAAAAAATGACAAGAAATAAAATGAAGCTCTTATATTGTTGATTTAGAAAGATTTACTTTTTTATTTTTTGAAAATAAAGGTTACTTTTGAATTATCTTTATGCATCGGCCAGATTTCGTAAATTGCTAAAACTTTAACATTATTATGGAATATAGCCAGACTTATTGGAGTACTCTAATGCTTCTCGAAGAGCTTTAATTGTGAAAATAGGCATGTCGGAATAGACAACAAAAATGACAACGACACAGAAACTGTACATGTAGTCATCGACAGTTGTACATGTACCACTGCGTCGTTCATCCTGGGATAATATAAAAATAATCGTTAATAATATGAGTGTTTTTGTACCCAGAAGAGATCCAAGCGTTGGCATTATATCTTTTGGGATCTCCATTACTTCTATTAAACGAAGCATTGACTCTAACTTTTGATGAACTCCAGTATTGATGATTTTTGATGAAGCTTCCTTTGTGAGAATAAGACTAATATCTGTTTGAAAATTGGCACATGTAATAATCCCATCTCTGAATAAAGACGAAGTAGACGTTTGATTGCTTCCCACATCAATGCTTAAATGTGAACTGAACATAGATTTAATACTGGTTCATTAAAAATGGTAGTTTAATGATGGGCAAACATTTACAGGGTAAATGAAATAAACCCTGTCCACAAGTAAGACGTGTACAGATATGTACAGGAAAATTTTACAAATGAAAAAGGCGAAGACAGCGAATCATGAGCGATGTAAAAAAAATTACAAACAATATAAATCTGTAAACAGGGCATAAAGCACGATCCCCGGAAATTCTAGAGGTGGGATCAGGTGCCTGGAAGGAGTAAGAATCCCCTAGTCGACCAGTCAAACCGTGAGTCCTATGCATTGATTAGGTAGACAGAATATTCCGTAGTCAAAGTTAGTAAAAAAAAACCCCAAAGGTCTAACAACTGGTATGAAACACGCCAGCCAAAATACTTCCCAATGATAGGTTGTATTTTGTTAACAAGGTCATTCTAACGAACATATAACTTACTAAATGCTGACTTTAAACGAGGTCGTTGAAATCTCATCATCATCAATTTATCTGTTAGATTCATGCCTCGGTTTAAAAATGGATCGTACTCGGAGCATGCCCTTGAGTATCGCTGGGAGTCGTAAACTCCATATGCAGATAATAGCGGAATATTACTACATAAATAAGGAAAGTTTGTGATGGAAATGCTTAAGTCATCTGGTTTGTCATATACTTTAGTTGTTGTTAGATAGCCCTTATCGTCTATGATCAGTTAAACATCCAAATATGAAACAGATGTGGCAGACTCTGTGGTATCTTTTATTTCGAGTTCACTGGGATATATCGCGTCGACATATATTGTTAATTGATAAAATGCCGTCAGTATATCTGAATCTGGAGTTGAAAGCCACAGCAAATGTTTTCATCTTCCAGATTATAAGTTTTTGAATAAATTCTGCTTCAAAGGAATAAAAACATGTTGGCTAAAAAAGAAGCACAATTAGTGCCCATCGAAATTCTAACAGTTTGTGGGAAGATCTGGTCTCTGAAGATTGACTACATAGATGTTGTCACTGAGGAACCCCAGCATCCTTTAATATCAACTTCAGAATACTGTGTGTAGAATCAGTGATTTTCAACGAAGTAATTTTGTTTATGAACAATCACAATACATGAAAATTTCAGAGAATCATTTTGTATTGAAGAAGCAGTTGTCCATGATATTAAAAGCCTAAGTTTTGATTTATTGTGTAATGTATTTATAAATGTAGAAAAGTTTTGATGTTAATGACGTTTAAAAATTTTGTGATTTTTAAGTTTCTAAAAGTTCCTTGGAGTTTTTGAGAATCCATATTTGATTTACACCACTTGTAGAATATGCAGTAGCACAGTACGTCTGAAGTTTCTCCTTTACAGCAGTAAATATTTTTATGAGGAGTAAAGATAGGGGCTTGGTAGAGCATTAATTCTTTTCCAATTTTTTTTTTTTTTTTTTTTTTTTTTTTTTTTTTTTGATAATAAGGAAACTTATTTTTATGACCAAGTAAACACCAATAGATATTCAGGGCATAAATAAATTATCTTATGTGGTTTTTAATCTAAGCAAATTTTAATTTTATGACATTTCTTATGGATCTCCAGCTTTTTACTGAACCATAATCATAATTTTTATTGTAACAGCATATTTGAAAGCAAAGGAATAACTAACTTGGATGAGACTTCAACAGAGAAACTCAAGGTTTATTGAATTGAGTAAATATGAAACATTACGTTTATATTTATGCTTACATTGATTGTTAATATTTAACTCTTAATGAGGATCGTAAAATATCGGAAATATGGAAACCTTACGGGATTTCTTTACTAAATTATAGTGGTAAATCAATTTTATTTCCCCTCCAAATTTTATACCCGCATTTGTAGTCATTTTATTAATGATGGGGTGACGTAACAATGCCAGAAGTTGAACGACTTCTCATTAAGTCATAAATAAGTCGTTAGCACGTGTGTATGTACAAACAATCAATTCAAAGCTTGCGTCGATTGTGTATCATGGCGTTATAAACAATAACGAATATTGGATTCTGATTGTACTAGGACAAAGCGCTGTATAATCAATTTTATAGAATTAGCTAACACTACCAACCTTCTCTGACATTCGTGTTGATCAATGGCAGCAGAAATATTCTTGATACTATTACACTTTACGTGTCAGCTTATATAAAATGGCCTCGTTAGTTTTCATGAGATATATCATGAGATTTATCTTCGGGATTCCCTCTGTCTGTGGTGTCAGGGCATATATCGGTGAAATTAAAATTTGTCTTGTGTGAATTTGTAAGCAACTTGAAGAAAAAAAGGAAAAGCTTATGATAAATATACTAGTAAGAAGAGAAGGATGCCCAACACATCAAAAAGTAAAAAGTATTTGTGACACTTCGATACCAATACCAGGAAGCAATTTCAGTTTGGGCGGGGGGAGGGGGGCGCATCCATACATTTTCAGTTGAGGGGGCACTATCAACCAAAAATTCCTAGACAAGCAAAAAAAAAAAAAAAGGGGGTCATAAGACGTTTTTTATTGAGGGGGCACAAGCATATAGTAGCTCTATTTTCTATAGTAATCTATATATCAGCAAAATTATTGGGGGGGGGGAGGTGGGGCACGGCCCCCCGTGCCCCCCGTTCTAACGGCCATGAATACAATCACACAATTAAAACGAGTTAATTGATTATGTACTTCAAAGTACTTCCTACATGGAGTTATTGTCAGTACAGAAAGAGAGTGACAAAAGAAACACCTAGCAAAAATAAATGTCAAAAAACATTTTTAAATAATCAACATC